TGATGGCAGCAATACAAGAACAGCAAAAGATACAAGAAGAACGAGAAAAGAAACAAGAAGAACGAGAAAATATACAAGAAGAACGAGAAAAGAAACAAGAAGAACGAGAAAATATACAAGAAGAACGAGAAAAGAAACAAGAAGAACGAGAAAATATACAAGAAAAGAAACAAGAAGAGAGATTACAGCAGTGGCAAGAAAACCTGCAACAGTGGCTGCTCGAACAGCAAAATAAACAAGAAGAGAGATTACAGCAGTTGTTGGAGGAAAAAAGAAAAGAAACAAGAAGAACGAGAAAAGAAACAAGAAGAGAGATTACAGCAGTGGCAAAAACCTACAACAGTGGCAGCTCGAACAGCAAAATAAACAAGAAGAGAGATTACAGCAGTTGTTCGAGGAAAAACAAAGGAAAGAAGAAGAACGAGAAAATAAACAAGAAGAGAGATTACAGCAGTGGCAACTAGAACAAAAAAGGAAATAGGAAGAAAGTATCCAACAGTTGCAGGAAAGTCAGCAGCAACTATAGGAAAGTCAACAACAGTGGCAAAAAGTACAAATGAAAAACATTAGTAAATTTCAAAGCGAATTAAATACATTAAAGGATGATTTATTGTCTTTTACACAAGGAGGATACATTAAACATCGACTTAATCAGCCCCAGACAATGGCAAGCATCTTCCAGACCCTGCAGCTAAACCCTAATGCACACAACTTCAGTTCTGTTAGAAGTCACATCCCAGATATAAATGCCAGTAATAGGGGTGATCCAGTACAAAGGAAGCCACAGGAATTCGACGGGAAGCATATAGAGCACAATTTGAGCTACTGGCAGAGATGAATGGATGGACAGATGAGCAGGAAGCAGTATATCAGACAACGAGCTTCAAGGGATAACCACTGGAAATACTTGGACAGTTGTCAGCAGACAAATGGCACAACTATAAAGCACTGGTAGCGGCTCTAGAACTAAGGTATGGAACCCCAAATCAGTCCAAAGTCTACAGGGCTAGGTTTAGGACGAGAGTCCGTGCTAAAGGGGAGAGCATGCAAGAGCTGGCACAGGAC